AAGTCCTGAGCTTCAATAACATTAACCCTCACATACCAAAGCTTGGGGGAGAGGTATACCTTCGATCGAATGTTCTTAACACCCTCAGGCCCAACTGTTGCAGCATCAGAATGCCATGCATCAGGAAATGCCTCGTCTGCTTGAGTTCCCATCCAAACTGCCAGCATCAGCTCTCCCTTGACCTTATCCCCCTTCCTGTCCTCCAGCCTATACCATTGTGGTGCCAATGGGCTATCTGGTGGTTCGCGTTTCGGGATATCAATGAGATCCATCATAATCCTGCCCATGAAATCATCCAGCACAACATCCTTATCTTTCACCACAACTTCCAAAACTGAAGCTTGAAGACGTTCTTTGGAGAAAGCAAACACCTGATTCCATTCAGGGTTAGACTTCTTCTCGAAATGCTTAGTAACTCCCTTATAGTTTCCGAGTTTTACTTCAACATAGGGATCAGAACTACCAGTGACATCTTTTGCAGGCAAATCCTTTGCTTTCACCACGTGAACGTAAAGGTATTGCATCCGTTCTACAAGGTCATAGGTGCATGAGAGCTTGTCGCCCGTGATAGAGCCCGCGCCAATGTTTGGCGAGGTCTCTTTCAGAGCGAAATCTTGAGACGGTGGAGGCTTCTGCATTTTCTAGTTTGTGGGAATAGAAAGAGAAGCTACTCCTTAAACACCAAACCCAGGTACACAAACAAATCGAATTCGATTTGCAGAGATGCTATTAAAGCAAGTGAAACCTCAAAAGATTTCCAACACCAGCAATCAATTCCTTCCTAAAGATGCATAATTTTTCTGTAAAATGGAACAGAAATTATCTCAAAGGTAAAAGAGATAACTTCACCAAGAACTTCAAAAGAAAGAATCCTGAAGAACTTCTTGACACCCTGCAGATTCAAAGAATCAATGTATTACTCTTCCATAAAGTAACCCTCTTTTGGTTTCTTTAAGAAGAAAGTAGAGAGAGAGAGAGAGAGAGAGAGATTCAAAGGAACTTCAGAGCAACCAGCACATATATTCTATTCAATCAATACATTTTCTGAGCAACCAACCATATTGACTTCACAGTACAAAAAACCAAATCAGAGAGTACTAAAAGAAGAAAAATAATCAAAGGTAGCTTTATATGAACAACTCACAGATCCAGTGCAGAAACCCCATCAAGTCAAAGACAACAAGTAAGCTCAAATTTCAAGGAAACTTGCACATTAACTTCAACTAATCACACCTAAAGAAAAAATGGGTTTTCAACAACTCGTAAAAAAAACCAACTTCTAGAAAATCTTAAAAGCAAGCAAGCATTCATTGTTCATCTTCACAAGCAAATTAAGTGACCTACAAAAAAAGAAGAAAAAATGGGAACAAGAAAACTATACAAGTAATGCCAACTTATTAGAGTTACACACTGACCTGAGGTAGCTAAAAGTGCTTTTCTTCAACGTGCTTCCATGGAAAGTCTTCAAATTTAAGAAAAACAAAAATGGGAAAATTCAGTTTGTAAGAAAGAAGAAAAAAGGGCAGCTGAAGAGAGTGAAGAATTTGTGGGGCTGAGATCTGAGAGAAAGACTGAGTCTTCTCTCATAAAGAGCATGGACAGTAAGAAACCTACTGAGTGCCAACTTTTCACATTTGTCAAAATTTTTATTTTATTTTTTAGTTCTTATTGTCTTGTGTAAGAGAGGGGCATTGCACATGCCAAAATTTTTTAATGTAGCGAGATACATCTAAGTATTACAAAATAATTGGATGGAAGTTTTTCTTTAAAATATCTGGTCGATTAGTTTGTGACACTTATTGAGCCGAGCTGTGTTTTATGTACCCTTAGAAATTTTCGTTACACGTGCGAGAAGATTATGGACAGTTTTGGCATCATCTGGTCTTGGATTAGTGTTCCTCGGTGATATGAGAAAATTTGTCTCTTTTATTTTATATGTTTCTTGGTTTCCTCACCATGTGGGTTGGTTTGGTAATGAATTGAGTTTTTGGTCTTGCATTTGTAATATTTTAACATAAACAAAGTGTAGACACTCTTAAGATTTTTATGCGAAGGTGCACGCATCTTCCATAACTCCTAACATCGTAGTATTGAAGAATAGAATTTCATATCGGTATTTGATAAAGTAATACATATATATAGATATATAAGAGATTTCGTTTTTAATATCACCAAGATTTTTAATTAAAAGGTGAAAATTGAAAAATAATATATCAAATCATGCAAGCTAGGAGAATTCGAAGGATTTTTAGCCTTAATCGCAAGTGTACATTAATTTAGTCACAAAATTACAAGCATACAACAAACTATTTTATAGAGTAAGTAAAAGGTTTCAATCACTTGATTGCCAGTTCTAGACATTACCAATGGTTTTTTTTTTTAATTTCATTATACAATGATGTTCTACCAAAAAGAAAAGTGACATTTGTCATACAATCACGAACTACCAGCCTACCAACCTTAGAAAAAAAAATATTTTATAATACAAGGTATTCTATTTAAAAAACTAACGACGAACGTTTATTACACAATAGCTTTACTAATTCTCATATGGGAAATGAAAATATGAATTGATTGATGAGGGTACATATCCTCAAAAAGGTTAAAGTCACGTCATTAAATTCATGACCCACAGTTATTGTGTTCATAGCAGTAACATTTTATTATATAAAGGACTACATTAGGGTGAGGTTGTTGCAAAATCATTGCATTCAGCTCATGTCATCAAGAGAGTTTTCAGTGTGTTAAAAATATGGGCACATACGCTAATACATTGTATAAGTAAATGAACACTAAAAAAAACTATTATCTATTTGTATATGACATATTGTTCCGTATTCTAAACACATTGAAAACTCTCCATGTGGCCACCATCTATGTTTGATAAGTGTAAATAATATATATTAATTTCCTTAATGTAAGGAGAGAGAAGGTGACGTGAACTAAAAGGTATATAGTAATATAACATTTAGTTTGACAAAACTTTTGTGTTTGTTTTGCGATTAAAATAAGAAAACTTTAACGAAAAGCTCTCGATACTGTTCATTTTAACAAAAAATCATATTTTTACACTAAAAAGTTAATCATGGTACAATTCACTTTATCTTTTATTTTGTTCTTATCGTTAAAACTCAAAGTTTTCAAGTTCATTAGTTTTCCTTTAAAATAAAGAGAAGAATAATTTACGCACACGTCTTATTTTTTCATGCACACTATTATTTAACTATAATTTTTTTATTTCAAATTTATCAACTTTTTATTTTTATTTTTACCTATAAAAATTCACTCAAATCTAAAACTATATAATCGTTGACTCAAGAGTTTAAGGTTTCTTTGTAGAACTGTATTCAACTATTTTCTTTATTACAAATGAATGTCTTAATGATTTTGGATTTGTATATTTTTTTTTGCAAAAATGATCTATGAATAATGTTATAAAAGATAGACAGTTAAGATTGGTAAAATACATTAGGGAGTGGGTTCTATAAAAACTTATGTAAAAAATTGTGTAAAACAAGTGGTGCCACAAGATCCGCTCTCATATATAAATGATTTAAAACTTTGTATAAAATATTTGATTAAATGATTATTGGTCACCATGTATAAAACTTCAACTCTGAAAGTGATATATGCATCAAATTATATGTCACAAACTAATTTATTTCGCCATACCGATGGCCAAGAATTCGATTTCTTGTGATATGGATGTTTCATGGGGCCAATATTGAAAGCAAAAGATAACCATCCACATTCATATACACGAATTAAATTTGCAAAACTTATGCCCACAATGCTGGCAGTTGAAAAATAATGAGAAAGAAATTGTTGTTAGGTATCGTAGGATCATGAATTATTTTTTTTTTTTAGATATTAAAAAAATAAAACCTTTCTCTCTTTTGGTATTTAATTTATTACTTAGCAAGTATTGCTAAAATTTTGAACGCTTGAAAGAGGGAGGTATTCATAGGTGCGAACAATCAGACCATGTCATCCTCCACTCACATACACGAGAAACGTCTCACTTCTCTGGAGTTTTAATCTCATATATCTTATGTTTGATGCACGTAAACGGACAAAAAAAATTCCTCTAAAGAGGAGTAAAACGTATGAACATGGAGAATATGAGCAACTATTAAGTAAATTAAAAATAAAGAAACTAAACAAAAAGAAGCAAAATGAATTTTTTGTTTTGTTTTGAAGTTGGAGTCGTATCTTGTAGGTGTGTTAGGTGGAACCATCAAATTCACCAAAATGGCGAGAGGACAAGAAAATAAACCCTATTTCGGTGTATGGTTCTTGACCTTTTCCTGATGTGACACACATAGTTGTCATGATTCATGACCATGCACAAGCACATGCACAAGAACCTGCCCTTTAGGTTATGCAAAGCCAAAAAAGAAAAGGAGAGTTGATTTTCACGCGCTGTTTTTAGTTTTTACACATGTTTTTTTTATTTTAAGTGCTCATTCGGATCCTCTTCGGACTTTAACGTCTGGAGTCTAAAGATTAGGAATCTCGACCCTTGATTTGTGTGAAAGAGAGATCGGAACTATTGTTTTGTATGAGGTGGAGCAATAGATTTAGTTAATGAAGACCATCAGATTCAACTTAAGTGGTCCGAATTGCATAATCCTTAAACTCTGGACAATGAGATATGAAGATAATATCTGTCCACACTTTCATTGCATCTCAAAGAAAAAGCAACTTTTTTGATGGTAGAAAACCTTCATTTGGTACATTTTTGGGATAACCAAAAATTGCTCTCTAAAATATTCGATTTGTATCAGTTTGGCTCCTAGATTCTTTTCATCCCAAATTGGCCTGTAACCTTTTTGCTTTCACCGGCTTGTAGATCTTCCCAGCTTAGGAGGTGTCATGGTGACAAGAGAAACTTACCCGTAACCCGCTGTACTTCTTTCCTCTGACATGATTAGTCACGTGAGAAGAGAGATAAGAAGAATGGGTACAAGTTCTCCCCAAGCTAGGAATATCAAACGAACTGAATCAATCATAAATTCATAATTCAGCTTCAAGGATGCCTTTTCAATCATTAGCTTTGAATAACATACAAACTGAAACAATCAGTAACAGCATGATTCTTAGACATAGTTTGCAGTTAGAAATGAACTAGAAGATGTTGAAATATCAAACCAATTCCTAGCGGAACAGCCGAAAGACAAATGTGGGACTATGCAAATCAATAAAGCTATCTTCAGCAGCTTCAAGTGACTGCAGAAATATCGCTTCTCTGGGTTCCTCACTCACTCCGCTTTGCGTAGCGTACTCCAATGCCATCTCATAGTCCACCTGAAAAATTTGAGCACGAGATTAGCGTATGTGTTAACATCAGCATATCTACTTGACTACATAAATGTCTACATCAACCTTCGTCCCACTTTCTAACCAGATGTTCTCACAATCACATTGGTTTCAAGATACAAATACCGTTAGCTCCTCACTACAAGCAATGCATAAGTAATAATATGCAAAGTATAGTTGAGTACCAATTTCTCTACAGCTACTGATGATATGCATACTGACCCCCGACAGCAAAGTAAATAAATAAAAAGTGCGGAAAAAAGGAAAGACAAGCCACACGAAAATTGTTATATGAGCAGTTAAGGCATCATCCAACCTGTTCAACATGTTGTAAAAGCTTTTCCTTGAGTATTGCTTTTGTAACTGTTTGATTTGATATTTCCTTGTACATTTCATCGCGTTGCTTCTTTGCTGCATGTGATTGTTCCTGTTGGCATGTACAACTTTCATTAGGTTGTAATCACTTTTCCTTTTATTGTTTCCTAGCCTTATTTAGAAGGACCTCTTGTAATCAGTTTATATACGTCTATGAGAGATGAAAAATAAAATCATTCTATTCTCACCGAATTCTGCGCTTTGATCTCCTTCCACACATCATAAAAAACAGTACAAGCATTATCAAGATACCTGCAAATTCACAGTTAGATTGCTTCAAATCGTACAGGGAGTGGAAAATGATAATTCAGATCAAATTAAGAATAAAGGCCAAAGGAATGATTAGTTTTACTTGCTCAAACTTCGCTTTCTCTCCTGCTGTTCACGAGCTTGCATTTTCTTCACTATCTTGGTTTTTAGCTGGATGCAACACTGTTGAAGGGCAGACTGTCGAGGTATCGTTGTTACATAATTTGATTATATATTATACATTGAATGAAGAAAAATTATAATATAGCCACTGACCTTGACAGCTGAAGCTATTTCAGTTATATCATCTCCAATATACTCCTTCCCCGTTCCTTTAAAGGGTATTTTTGTGCTTACAATGCTCACAAAGACACCAATCTTATCCTGAGTTTGGTTGATCTTGTAACTACTCCAACTAAAAGAATATTTTGCACATTGTGTTATATATAAAAACTAGACTGCTATCTCCCTTCTTTTTCTACACAATTCTCAACCTAAAAAAGAATAGAATTGCAAACAATGAGAAAGTTTCCTATGACTTACTTGATTCTCTTAAGAGCGGTCCTGGTGACAACATCAGCCCCTTGTTCGAAAAGAAGTGGAATTCGGTTTGCAAATCGGAAAATATTCAAACCCTAAAATGGAAACCCAAAAACTTCATAAATGTTCATTGGATAAACAAATCAAATTCTAACATACATTTTGTAATACTCAAGTAATAATCAGGTAAAATGGCATCTAAAGAAAATATGAGCGAGAAGAACAAAATTCCAGTTTACGATTTGTTAATTCCTATGTCTATATTAACCATCATTATTAATAAAGAATCACCTACTTGCTTGACATCTTTTCCACCCACACTGACACCAGCTTCCACAATGAATGGGTGGCCTTCAAAAACTCGGGCACTGTATGGAATATGAAGTAACGAAACAGCGTTTCGGTACAAAGTCAATCAATCAGCAGAAAACACAAATACGTGCACAAAGAAAAGTAGCAGTCAGCTGTTTACAGGAATTCTTAGAAAATAAATCACATGAATTAGCAAAGTTAGAATTCAAATAACCTTCCAGAATAAGTTGCAACCATGTCTGGATGCAGCTCCTTTATAATTCCTAGACGAAGATTGTATTCCCCTGCAGGACTCAGACACTGAAAACAGCGAGTAAATAATAGCCCAAAGTTCCAAACCACATAGCCAAGACAATATATTCTATGCTAACTGATGTAAAGCGAACAGAGACCAAAAAGAAATGCTTACATCACCACTAGGATCATCAAACTTAGCTTGACGAAATAACTGATGGATGCGAACAATTTGTTGAGAAGTTAGAGACTTAATAGGCATTTTTGGACTGAACTCAGGACCCAATTCCCCTGAAAAAAGGAAGAAATATCAGCTTAAGCATCTAAAGCAATAGCACCACAATCATGACAAAAATCCAACCTTTAATAGTGTACAAAGGATGTGCACAGAAACTCTGCAAGAATGTAATAGTACAACTACCTCAAATTCTGTTTACACTAAATATTATTCAGATCACAGTGAAAAAGACTTACCAATTAGTCGTTCAGCATATGCTTTTCGTATATTAACAAATTCATGCTGAAGAAACTGTAAAAGGTTTTGCTTTGGATTTTCTTCAATGAGGCGCTTTATTAGCAATAAGTCAACGGACGATGGATGGTGCTTTGTCTCAAGAGGAACTGGAGGCATCACATCTGTTCTCCGAGCAAACCTTATGGTAATGCTTTTACTGCATGAAAAGTAAAATGTTAGTATGAACTTGTTCAGGACATAAATCCTAAAACTGCGCCTTTGTGTGTGTGTGTGTGTGTGTGTGAGAGAGAGAGAGAGAGAGAGAGAGAGAGAGAGAGCTTACTCTGCTGCACCTGATACAAATTTAAAAAGAAACTCGGCATAAGGAGTTATAACAGCCATTTGTCGCATGTAATGCAATATCTTGGACTGCACATGCCAACATTTTCATTAGCTTAAAATGAAACGAGCTCAGTGAACTACACTGAACAATATTTTTCAAAGCTAACCACAACACATCAGATTGACATATATGGTTAAGCATGTATGTATCTGTAATGAATTAATATGTCATTAGTCAGTGACTTAGCACATACACGGTAACTTGTCCAATTTCCTTCAATAACAACTTGGATCTCAGCTCCATGCCACCGAACCTTGTTATCCCGTTTTTCATGTAAATGGACATGAGGAATATTCCTGAAAGCATAAACAAGCATCATTGTGATGCGTAACAAGCGCCTAAACCTTAAAAATAAAGTATATTCTTTACCATTGGAACTTCCATTTTATGATATGAACAAAATAGACACATTAACTTTTTATAGAAATGATATAAACACTAATACAAGCATATACGGATATATATGATAAAAATAAGATTCAGGTAGCAACCACTAATCCAGAAATTATATCTTATACTATGCCCAAGTCATACCGATGAATATCTATATCCAGCCTGCAAAATGAAATATAATTTTGGCCCTTCAAAGATGACGAGATCTCTATAGGAAGCCCTGTACTCATCTTTGACCAAATTAATGCCTGCATAAGAAAACATAGGTCATAACTGGGGTTATACATATGCATGCAATAATTATATAACAGAAGAATGTCATGAACATATACATGATATGCCAATAAATACCATCTTTGCACCTAGACCAAACTTCCCACGCGTCTGCTTCAAGCCATATTTTGTTCCAGATAACACTGGACGAGTTCATAAATTCACAGAAAGATAAAGATGTGATAAAAGTGACATGCTATTGAGAGTCATGTAAAAAATGGTTTACTAGTTAAAGGGCAAAACCAAACGAAAAGTTTTGCAAAGTTACTTTACCTCGTCCAAACATATTTGGAATGTCATCATGTGGCATCCCCTTTCCATTATCCTGTATTTAAATCATAAAACCAATCATGTGAATTACAGTTATAGTGAATACAAAACAACATAAACGCCAATAAGAAACCTTTGTATGATTGGAGACTTGTTGCTGGGGAGTACATCATACCTTGCATGTAACCCTGTAAAATGAAGCCTCACCTCGACCCTTTATGGTCTTTGCAGCTGGAGGTTCTTTGACCATCTTTCCAGAGGAAGCATTTTTTGCCTGTAATTCTTGAGCACGAGCTTCCTTTGCTAATCGTTTCTGGATAGAACAAACAAATAACAAGATGAATATATGAGAGGCTAGTTATCTACAAAAAAATGATAATAATAAGAAACGATGAGCTTAAAATAATATTTGCAGAATCTGATACTTCCTATATAGCGTTTTCCAAATTCATGAAGTTCTTTTACTGGTAAAGTAATTGGAAGACGTAAGTTATGATCCATTAAGAATGAACTCCCAAATCAAGAAAATAACGTTGATGAAAAATAAAGCACCCCAAGTCAATACATGACTACATGTATAACACAAGATAATCAAGGAACTTTCCCTCTTTTTTTTAGGTGCAGTAGATATATCGTGGCTTTTAATTTCCTTTTCCTTACCACAAAGTTAAATGTACCTCTATATTTTACTGCTATTGGAAATAACATAGCAACAAAGTCACATCATAAGTATGCACACCTCACGAGCTTTAGCTGTTTCATAATCATCGTATAATGCCTCATCAACACGATCTCGATCAATAAGACCAATCATAGAATTGAACTTGCTTTTCTCAATATCTTCACTGCAATAGCCAGATTCAGTATATAAAGAAATATGTCAATATCACAAGGTGACAACTATACCAATCAGAAGACAAACTTTACCCACTATATTCACCCCTACTCGTATGAACCAACATGCCCGACAATTTTCATAAACATATAATAACTAGCACTTACATCGTTATTTCTATCACAGGAAGCTCCGATATGGACTCCGTGGAATCAAGTGAGTTCTCAACAAGTTCCCTCACAGTAGTGTAAAGACATTTCCCTGGCTGAAAATTCCCAAAGAAAAAAGGGGAGAAAGATAAACATACAATGAGACAGTTAAGGTTCCAAGCTCTTTGCTTTCTTGAATCAATCAATTATTTTTCAAAACAATCTAAGGTCCACATAAACTTCCACGCTTCTATATTTTAGAGCTAACTTCGAATTACGAAAATCTAATTTCTTTTTTCAGTTTCCATGTGTGTGTGAAAATCTAAATTCCAACTCATACGATCATAACTGCATAAGAGATAACAAAATTGATTTCCCGAATTCATCAAACATTGAGAATTCATAACAAAATTGTGGGAAACAACTTCAACCTCCACAACACCTTTCAAATTCCTAGTCCTTAAATTAGAAACCATAAGATTCCAACTTTCGTCCAAAAAAGAAAGGTAAAACAATAATGTAAAAGAAAAAGCATACATTATCGAACCCAGCAATGTTCTTGTTCTCCGCAAAGAACTCCGCCGGCGATTCTGCAGAAAAATTGAAAGCATGGCTAATGAATATTCAAACTAAAACATGCGTACAGAAAACGAAGGCAGAGAGAGAGAGAGAGAGAGAGAGAGAGAGAGGAGAGAGAGAAACTCTGTTCGAGAACGCTATCTTTGGGCTTTCTGGGCGTCTTAGATTGGCGTTTCTTAGGCTCCGTCTGGTTCTTGCTGCTCCCTCCAGCTTCCATTTCAAATTCCCAATCAAATCTTCGCCCCCAAAAAACCCTAAATTTGAAAAAGGAAAAAGCCCCAAATTTGGATGATAGGAGGAGGAAGAAGAAGAAGAAGAAGAAGGAGAGAAAGCTAGGGTTTTGTTAGGTACAGTGTGTGAGCTATGGCGCGACCAGCTGCATAGCCGTTTGACGGCGGACTGTGCTTTTTTTTCTCTGGAGATGTGATGGGAATGGACGGTGCAGATTGGGCGTTGGATTAGACATTTGCTGGACTTGTGTGCGTACACGATCAGCATTTCATAGACCGTTTTTTCTTTCCCGCTAAATGTTGTACATGTGTGACAAAAATTATATCTTGCAAGCTTGGAAGTGCTTTTGGAGATTCCCTTCTTCTAAAAGCACTTGCAATTATTTTACAATCATTAGTGTTTTTTAGAGTTTCAAATGATCTTCACAAAATGTTAGAACATTTCAGTTTCTTGATTTAGCGTGACAAACAATCAAAATGTCTTAGAATATCACGTTGATATAATCTATGAGTTACTGAAATCTCGCATCGCCTTATTTTGTCTTAAAAGAAATTTTCACACATGTCATCTACGTCGTAATTATTTGTTAAGAAATGTTAAAAAAAGAGAGAGAAAATAAGGGAGTGTGGAAAGTTATGACATCAAGTCAATTTATTCATTTTGTTGATAAAATAGATTCTCTTAAGGGAGCTGTTATTAACATCTCAAACATGTCATCATGAATTCTAAATTTGTAAAACATAAAGAAAAGGATTTGTGAATAAAACATGAAGAAAATAATAATATTTTTGAAATGTCGATAACATCATTTCTTTTGATAATATGAATAGATAAACATATAGAATTAGGTTTAGTATCGTAGACTCAATGGCACCACTCTGACAATTTCAACTTTCATAGCAATTATCGATAGCATATAATAACAAACATTTTCAAAATGTTGGCCCGGTCGCGGGCCATAAAGATATCGATTGTCATACCCTCAAGCATGGAAGAAAATATCCAAAATATCGGCGTCGTTTTTTTGGGTTAACGATATTTTAATGAGTATCCAATAAGTTTTCGTCAAAATATCGCCTAATATCGCGATATTAGCTATAATATCGCGATATTTTGTTCAAAAATTCCTGAAAATTTTGAAAAGTCACAATTTTGAACACAGAGGGGTTCGAACCCCTCCCACATTAACTCCTTAGCGCCTTAACCACCATACCACTTATGTTGTTGTGATAATATGCTACAATATTTATATATATGCTTTTGTTTTGAATTCTTTTTACAAGAAACAAATTTGCACATTTTCCAAATTTTTTGTGGTATTATATTTTAAATTGTGTCAATTAATTACTTAGTCAATGACATGTGGTTTTTAATTTTTCTATTTTTTATTTGGTCACTTACATGGTAGGGCTGGAAAAAATTCCGAAAAATCCCAAACCAAACCGAAAAAGTCCCAAACCCAAACCGAAAAATCCCAAACCAAAACCATCCTGAAGTTCGAGAATCCCATCCCGAAAAATACCAAAAATTTCGATATGGGATTGGTTTCCAAATCCCATTTGTTTGGTAATCCCGAAAAATACCGAAGTATTCGGTTTCTTATTGACTTTTGGGTTTTGGTTCTTGAAAACCATTGCCATGGTTGCTAACTACTCTTCAAAATACACTCACTCTACACATAGAGATGATGAAAGATAGTGAAAATTTTGAACCTCATAGGAACTCTATGTGGTACTAAGTCACTCATGTATCTTACCATGCAATGTATAAAGTGTAAAATATTGTACTAATTCATTATATATAAATGATTATGGTGTGTTTAGACTTCTTTCATTAATTTCTACATATTTTCTACACTCACAATGTTTGTCAGCTCGCTATATAATCAACTTGATAATGTTAAATCCATCATGCAATGCATTTCCTTCCAATTTTTTGTGATAAACTAATAGATAATTGACTAAATAAACATCCTGCAAAGTTTCAATAAAAATTTCCAAGTTTTTCTTACAATTTCCGTGGTTTCCATGTAATTTTTATCGATATCGATATTATCCCGATATTTCCATCGATATTTCCGTGTTTTCGGACTACCGATATTTCCGATATTACCGATATTTTCTTCCTTGCCCTCAAGTAGGAGAGATTTTTCAGCATTCTCAAAATAACACATGTTATTATATATCTGGTTGAAAGTTTTTATTTTCAAGTATCTTTTTAATTATATAATGACATGTAGTGTTTTACCTAATATTCTACACTGAAAAATTTCTCTGCAAGTAGTAGACTGGACGAGAATATCAATATCAATATATCTTCTTCTTACGTTTAACAGTACTCATTCGATGCATGCTTCGTATATATGTGTAACAGTCTAAGGAATCTCTCCCTCCCCCTCTGGCTCTATAGTCTCCACCACACTCCTCACGTCTCCTCCTCCTCCAATCTTCACGTGCAATGGCTTTGGTACCGACTTTGTTTTTCTGACTTGGTATTGAAGCGACTCATATCACTTTGCTTAAAACGTGTTACCAAAAACCAGATAAAACAAGGAAGATAAGGACCAAGAAAAGCGAAGAAGCTAGAACAAGGACCACCTGTGCCATTTTGCACTCATCGAAAGAAGATTCTTTCACATCATTTTTTTTGGTGCTCTTTCACACATCACAGGTCTGTTATTTTCAAAATCAAATGCTGCACGTTATGATTTGAAAGAGACGAGCTTATAGCAGTGCATCTATGCCCCTTTTTCACTACAAATTTACAATAAAATGCGATGAATTCATGATTGAGTGCTGCTACTAACCAAAGTTCACAATATATTACCCATCAAATGATGATTGTGGTAACCAATCGGGCTTCCCGTAACTTGTATATTATCGATGCAACTTACCTTGATCGAGAGCCTCGCACGTTTCTTCAACAATAGCTGCCGACTACAACGTCAAGGTAGAAGTTATGCCATGTAGAGGAGATGGAAAGCAGGAATCAAGTTTTATATGTTAGAGGTAGTACTCAAGTAAAATGGGGTGAGGGCGTGTAGCCCTTTTGTATTTATTTTCGCTTCTAGTGAATTGTTTTTTGAATGGCAAAAGTGTTCGATAAAATTCTACAATTGCTGGGGTCGGGAAAATGAGGGACCTTACATATGCTTATAAATAATTGAACTGTTTTCTATATTGCCAATTAATTTTATGGTTCATTTACGTCATAAATCATTGTACACTATGAGTTAATTATTGTTCATGTGTAGTGTGTAATATTGATATCCATTTGCAGTTATATGCGGATTTAACGAATTACTGCCATTTGCATTCGTGAATACAATTTATATGGAAGCATTACATCTTCACGTATTGCTATCATGGGTAAATGAATATCAGTCGAGTTTATTTGACTATTCTTTGCATTTTTTTCTTAACAAAACTATTCTTTGCTTAAGTACAAAAGAAGAGCAGAACCATTTCTTTTGACAAAAAAAGTATATATGGACCACACTTCAATTTACTAATTAATGTGATGTTTACTGAAACTTATACGGTAAAACTTCGATAATATAACATTCGATAAATTAATAACTTTGATGATTTAGTAGAAATTCGATAATATAATATTCAACAAATTCATAACTTCTTAAATAACATTTTTGGCAGGTTGTGAATAGAAATAACATACTTAATAAGTAATTCGCTAAATCTAAAAGATCATTAATACATTATAAAAAATTATACAGGTCATGTATATAAATCAACAACTCTCTCTTACTCTTAACTTATTTAAATAAAGTTTGTACTTGGTTAAATGTTCATAAGAATTCCCTCTGAAACTAAGTGTGAGGTTTAGAGGGTATAGGAGCTGAACTTGCAGTTTTCCATGCCTGCCTTCTTGATAAACTCCTTAGCATATTTTGACTGATGTATAAAAATAGCACCATCAGCTTTATATTCAATTTGGAGACCTAAAAATTAAGTAAGTCAACATGCCTATATCTTTTAAATCAAACATCTCTCCCAGGTCTGAAACCATGCACTGATTGAGTTTTGGAAGAAGTAGACCCTGTCAATATGATATCATCCATATGTGACTGACCATTTGGAGAAACTGAATTGTCAGAAACTTGTATCAGACAGCTGAGAAGCAACAAAGGAGCATGATTGTGGGAAGGAGTAATAGTTGAATATCAGAGTACGCAACGAACAAACAAACAAATTGAATATAAAATTTTATTAAACGGAATTGCCAAGAAGGCTACATGAACCGAAGATGCTACATCTTGACTGACTTATTTCTCAAACTAAATTATAAGCAATATTTATAGAGAACTAAACCTAAGAAATCATAGCTAACTCGAGTGGGCTAGACCCAAATCCTAAACTAACAAGCAAAACTCAAATACTAAAATAAACCTAAATACTAATATTTTCCAACACCCCCCTCAAACTTATGGCGATAAACGACATGAGTTTGCCAACAAGCAGATGCGGATGCAAGCTCCATCATGCTAATTTCCGATGCCAAATCCAATATGAAATTCTATCAGTGCAAGTGCAAGTTTCCAATGCCAATGCCAATGCAAGATTCCATGTCAGTGCCAGTGTAAGATTCCAATGCCAATACCAGTGCAAGATTCCAACTTCAAAACAAAAAACAAAAAAAATTCAATTTACTTTGTCCACAATGTCATTCGAGTAGTTATCCATCTAAGCATTCGAGCGATCATTGTAGAAGTCAATAACAAACCAGAGACACAATCCCAATAACAACAATACGTGGGCCATAAAACCTCAAAACAACCATATTTTTTTCTGTTTATACCATATTTAGGGCTTCGTATTTAGATCTCGTACATATACTCAGGGGACTTAAATGTAATTATGGGACAAATGAAGGGGCAAATATGTAATAAGTGAGGAGTCCTTATTCTATAAAAGGACCCCTCACCCTCACAATTAGAGGAGGGCCTCACTCTCACTCTCGGAGGCCAATTCCTAGGCCTGAGATCCCCTCTCTCATCCTCAGAAGCTCTCAGAAGCTTTCACCCTCTCCCTCTCTATTCCCTCAAATAAATACATAATCAGTGTGGACGTAGCCCAAACCTTGGGGTGAACCACGATACATCTTGTGTTATTTACATTTCATTGCAGATCCACGGTCGGATTTACGTTGTTCCAAGACCATCCGGTTTTGTGCATCAACATTTGGCGCCGTCTGTGGGAATCGACACGAAAAACTATGTCGGTTCTCTCTCAATTTTTCATACCACTGTGGATCTGCTAAAT